CTTCCTTCCTTCCTTCCTTCCTTCCTTCCTTCCTTCCTTCCTTCCTTCCTTCCTTTCTCTCTCTCTTTCTCTCTTTCCTTCCTTTTGTCTCTCTGTCCCTTTTTCCTTTTTTTCTTTCATCTCTCTCTCACTCTTTTTCTTTCTTTTTTCTTTTTATTTATTTATTTCTTCCTTTCTTTCTCTTTCTCTCTCTCTCTCTCTCTCTGTCAGTCTGCCTGTCTGTCTGTGTGTGTGTGTGTCTGTGTCTGTGTGCGTATGTGGCAGTGGTGGGTTTCAAAAAATTTTGGAACCTCTTCTGTAGGTGTGGCCTGATTTCCGGGTCCACTGGTGGAACCTCTTCTAACCGGTTCGGTAGATTTGACGAACCGGTTCTACCGAATAGGTGCGAACCGGTAGGAACCCATCTCTGCCTGCGGGCTGTGAATGACCATAATTCACAGCCGTCTAAATAAAAGAGGGTTTGGGGGGACTAAGATTGTGGTTTATGCTTTCTCAGGAAGGTCAGAACGTCAAATTTCATTTTTCAGTCTGCTCCTGCCCCTTTCTATGGGGTACAGCCTTGTCCCAATCTTGAACCAATTTTCTTTGGGACAAAAATACGGGCCATCAAACACCGAATAGTGACTGTCCCAAGAACCTACCTTCACCAAGGGTCTTGCCCAAGGCCACTCTATGGCGGTCAATCATTACATCCTGAAGCTTTTCCTTCAATTCTTCACTGATGCCCAGACTATTCACTGCAAGAAGAAAAGGAGATTAAAGCAGAGGTGTCCAACCTGGACAACGTTGTGGATTTCAACTCCCAGAATTCCTATGCAGGCCCATTTTTATTCGCTATGGCGAATTCTGGGAGTTGAAGTCCACAAAGCCTTCAATTTGCCAAGGTTGGACATCCTTGGTCTAAAGTCTAAACTGGTGGCAACTGAGAAAGGGGGGGACAATTCCTAAATGCCACAGAAGAAGAATTGGTGTTGCTGGTGGCTTGGATCAGGCCATCATGAGATCCAAAACAGGCATCTCATCTAGGAGGCCAGCATAGTCCAGCTTTCCCGGTTGAATGTCCTGGAAGTGAGGCTTCCAAAATTTCAGATAGTACTGCAGAAGATCTGGAGTTCTACTGTTGCTGAAAACATCTCCAGATCTTGGTTGAATTATAGCAAAGTTTCCTGATTAGCTATGAGTGGAGACCTTATCTAAGTTGGGTTGATCTTCTCCTTCTGAAGATGCTCCTGACCTGGTTCAGATTCCACCATGAGAACTTACTTCTTTCAACTTATGGAATCTACCTAGCCATTTATGGACTCTTGATGGTTATATGTACAGAACGATTATGGTCGATAAGACTTACAGAATTTGGCTCAGGATCTGGCTCAGTTTTGCTAAATCTGCTGCCTTGATGGGCATGAACTCCTACTGCTAGAATGGTGGGGAAATGTGAAAGCTTCATATGCACTGATGATGTCACCGCGTTTGGTAACAAAACATCTCCAATAAAACAACCATGTTCAGAGAGCACCAAGGACTCCACAATTAACACTGCTTGCTGGATCTCAGTGTAAACTCACGCCAGGGTTGAAATGCCCTGAAGTCTGCTACCAGTTCGCTTCACTACCGCTTCACTTTGTGCACGCACGCATGCCTTGCATGCGTGCACACCGCTAATGTCGCATAGTTGATTGTTGGAACTACCGGTTCGCCCCAACCGGTAGCATTTTTTAATGTTCTGACAAACAGCTGTGCGACAATCAGCCGTGCCACGTGAAATCATGTGGCACAGCTGATCGTTGCACAGCTGATCGTCAGAAGGTTTAAAAATGCTACCGGTTCAGGCGAACTGGTAGCTCTGACAATCAGCTGTGGCACAGCAATCATCCTGCGGCACAGCTGGTTGTTGCGCAGCTGATGGTTGGAGCTACCAGTTCGCCCGAACCGGTAGCATTTTTAAACATTCTGACAATCAGCTGTGCAACAATCATCCTGCGGCACAGCTGATCGTTGAGCAGCTGATGGTTGGAGCTACCAGTTCGCCTGAAATGGTAGCATTTTTAAACATTCTGACAATCAGCCGTGCAACAATCATCCTGCGGCACAGCTGATCGTTGAGCAGCTGATGGTTGGAGCTACCAGTTCGCCCGAACCGGTAGCATTTTTAAACATTCTGACAATCAGCCGTGCAACAATCATCCTGCGGCACAGCTGATCGTTGAACAGCTGATCGTTGGAGCTACCAGTTCGCCCGAACCGGTAGCATTTTTAAACATTCTGACAATCAGCCGTGCA